GAAAAAAACTGGGTTGTAATGGTCCCTAATGTTTTTTATTTGACTTTTGTCTCTTTCATTGCAAAGACAGTATACAGGTTAACTCTGTACTTAAACATTTCCTACATATAATTAGATCAAATGAAGGAAATAATTAATAACACAATTGAAAGACGCTACAAAAATAGTGTGATTTAAAGCAGAGGCAAATGACTTCCTTTCTGGGGTCGCTGGCTTGGTCCTGTGCATACAGATGGGACAAAGTGCTTTGTGTTGAGATATCCCCCTGCTGGTGTGGGGGTTGACTGACCTTTCAAAGAGTGCTGCACGGTGAAGTGAACTCTGGTGACATAAAGGGGACTCTGGGTTGTTTGTTTTGACTTGGTAAATTTGCAGGACCTGTTAACAACTCCTCTTTGCAGATTTTAGGTCTCCCAGACATTTTATCACATCACATTTGTTTTTACTTAGGATTTTAGATTGTTTTAAAAAAATAAATGTACATTGAAATTTTGCTCGTGTCTTCATAGAGCTTGTGGGAACATTGAAACTAAGTTAGTTAAGCAGCTTCAGGCTGTGACACGCTGCATACAGTATTTTATCTCTTCCATCAGCTTTGGGTTCTATGGTTCTTCATTCAGGTGTTGAGGCTCACTCATCCCATTTTAAGTCAACTTGTTAAACTGTTTTAGATATTGTGGTTCCAGTAATCATTCCTTCCAAACCCAGACCTGAGCCCTGCACAAATGATGCCACCTGTGTGCTACCATTGGGCAGTGCAGGAGAACTGAGTGGACATGGAAGGACAATATACAGGTGTCTTTTCAATCACTCAAACAACAGTTAAACTGCAAAAAATGAATATTTTTCTGACCATTGCCTCCAATTTACATATGCTTTTAAGAACCATTAACTCTTAATGCCACACAACTAGTCAGCCAGAAAAATGCAACAGAAAAGTGTGTGTGTAAATATTTTTTTGCTACCTGGTGTGGACATATTTTATAATTTTCCCAGTACACACAGCTTGGAAAGGACATATTGTTCATTATGGGGACAAAAGCCCAGTCCCCATTGGAGTAAACATCGTTGGTTGGTCAAGGGTTCAGGTTAGAGCTGTAAGAATTATCACCAGAAAGCAGTACAGTCAACCATCAAATTGTGAGGTTGTGTGTTTTGTTTGTCTTATGTCATACCTCCCTCTTGTGTTCTTTCCCTGTCATTACACCTTTTTCCCTCACCTTTTTCTTGTCATTCCCTCCTCAGTCATCAWGCACCTGTCAGTAATTATCTATCAATTCCTCTCAGCTGTTGTTCATCTCCTCATTCCCTCTGTGTGTGTATAAATACCCTTCTCTCTTCTCCACTCATCACTGGTTCATTGTTTGGTTCATGCCAACTGTTCTGGATGTTCTTTGCTGTTTTCCTCGTGTTGTCTGATTTTCTTGTTGTTTTGCTGCCACGTGAGCCTTTTTGTTTATTTAATAAATCTTTTACTAAAAACTCCTTTTCTCCGTCCGGAATTGGGTTCATTCCTCCGCCACATCTAACATAAATACTTTATTAGGGGTCCAAGCCCGAGGAAGCAGGGTAACGCAGCTGCAAAGCAGCAGCGTTTCCATGTCTCCATCGGAGCATGGAACCCTATTGTATCTGTTCCGTTTTTTATTATTATTATTATTATTATTATTAGGGGTCCAAGCCCGAGGAAGCAGGGTAACGCAGCTGCAAAGCAGCAGCGTTTCCATGTCTCCATCGGAGCATGGAACCCTATTGTATCTGTTCCGTTTTTTATTATTATTATTATTATTATTATTATTATTATTATTAGGGGTCCAAGCCCGAGGAAGCAGGGTAACGCAGCTGCAAAGCAGCAGCGTTTCCATGTCTCCATCGGAGCATGGAACCCTATTGTGTCTGTTCCGTTTTTTTTTATTATTATTATTATTATTATTATTATTATTATTTTTCTGCGGAAAAACTCATACTGGAGCCCAAACCGCAAGGACTATGAAGAAGATTTTAAC